GGGTGTCAGGTGAACCTCAAAGACTCGAAGACGGGTATAGGAAACTCGGCAAAGAATGGCGTATGGAGGTGACCCACAGGGAATTGGGGGAGAAACTGCATTGTGTTTGCAAGTGCCAACCTCATGAACTCCCACATGCCACCTGTGAAGGAAGCTTGACCCGTGCTTCGGCGTACTACACGCCGGAATTCGCTCGTCGTGCGGTGGTTCACATGTCACGATTGGTGGATGCTCATGAGGTCTGTAGGTTGGTTCAGGACAACTCCCAGGTCCAGGACAACCCTCGGTGTGAACAGGGGTGTGAATGCAAACAGGTCCAAAAGTGGAACAAGGAATTGTCATGTTTTGATTGCATGTGTGATCAACATGGTAACATATTTGCGGCGGAACAGGAAGGAGGCATGGAGGTCATGACGGACGAACACCGGATCGCCCAGCTCGACCCCCAAGAAAGGGATAAAATCCTTCGACAGCTCTCACTGGTTCATAGCTCAACCGGACACGGCAGTTATCACTTGTTGGTTCAAGCGCTCAAAAGGCAGCAAGCCAGACCACAAGTCCTGGCCCTGGCACGGACTTTCAGATGCAGCGCCTGTGAAGAGCGTAAACGACCTGATCCCAGGTCGAGAGCCAACTTGAAAGTGTTCACTGACCGTTGGAAGAGCATCCAGGTGGACGCAGCCTTTTGGAGGAACCCCCGAGACAACAAGCAATCACAATTTGTAGTGTTGTTGGATGAAGCCAGCCGCTTCATGGTGACCGCCTTGATTCCGGGACACAAACGTGGCATTTCCCCCCAAGAGTACATTGAGATCTTTGAACAAAAATGGAAGCCCTATTTTGGGGTGCCAGATGTGGTGAGGAGTGATCCTGAAGGTGCCTGGCGTTCACAGGTCATCCAGGACTACTTCACCGGTCAGGGCACCATGTTGGACATCATTCCTGCCGAAGCTTATTGGAACCTGTCAAATGTTGAACGTAGCATTCAATGGGTGAAAGAGCTCCTCTCAAAACTAGTTCACGATACTGACATGGATGTCTCCAATCTGTTGTCACATGCCACCTACATTTGGAACCAACATGAGAATGTACGAGGATACAGCCCATTCCAACATGCTTTGGGACGACACCCTGACTCGGAAGGGAGGTTCTTCGAAAACAGGCTTCATGATGTCCCCATGGAGATGATCCAGCACCCCGACGGTGAGATGGAACAAGCAGCACACCTGAGAACACTGGCAGCCAAACAGTTTTTGGATTGGCAGCTGAAAGACAAATTAGGCCGTGCTCGCAATTCACGACACCACTCATTCAAAGATTTTTGTCCAGGAGACCTGGTTTTCTACTGGCGCACCCAAATTCTGGGAAACGAAAAACAATCCTGGAATCGTGGCCGATATGTTGGCCCAGCACGAGTGCTCGCTCTGGAAACCAGGAACGATGAGGATGGGCGCTTGAGCCCTTCCAGTGTGGCCTGGTTGGTGAAGGGCAATCGGATCGTCAAGGTGGCCATCGAGCAGATTCGACATGCATCAGCACGTGAACAAAACCATGAACTCGCTAGACCACCACAACTCCCATGGACCTTCACCGAACTCCTGGGTGACGTGAAAAGAGGTGTGTATCATGATCATGTTGAAGATGGACCCAAACCATACAAACGGGCGGCCATTGAACCAGGAGAGGGAGACCATCCTACCGTCGTTATGACTACAAACAACCTCCGGCTAGACAGGATTTCCGAGGACGAGTCCAGGGGAACTGGCCTGAAGTCCTAGATACTCAAGACTATTCTCCCAGTCTACCTCCGGAACCACGGGAACCAAGTCCTCGGTCACGAAGTCGGAGTCCAAGAGGGTCCATGCCACAGTCCAACAGCTGGCAAGAGGAGGTGCACAGTTCGTTCTGGGCACACACGGAAAGCAGTTTTTGGCAGCACTCACGATCTTGTGTGGAGATCGACATCGAGCTCCCACGACATGATAGAGGTTGGAAAAAGCTGTTCAAAAATAGTCAGTCCTTTTTCATCAGTGCCTTGAAGCGAAAGAGTATCGAGGTTTCCGAACGTCGGTTGAGTCAAGAAGAAAATGAACAATTTCAGGGAGCCAAAAAAGTGGAAGTGGACAAGTTCATCGCCTCCGAGGCTCTCCAGGCACTTCCACCCCATCTACGACCCAATAAGGAACAAGCATTGAGAATGAGGTGGATTTTGGTTTGGAAGAAGAAGGAGGACGGGTCAGTGAAACCAAAAGCCAGGGCAGTAGTCCTGGGTTACCAGGACCCCGACTATGCCAATAGGCCGACCTTTGCACCTACGATGACACGGCAAACTCGCCAAGTGCTGCTACAATGGGCAGCCAACCACCGAGCAGAGGTAAAGAAAGGTGATGTAGCTGCGGCATTCCTTCAGGGTAGGGAATTTGCCAGGGACCTTTACCTGATCCCCACACCTGAAATCTGCACAGCTATGAACATCGCTCCAGAGAGTGTGGTGAAAATGAGGAAGGCATGCTATGGATTGGTGGAGGCACCAATAGAATGGTTTGAGACCATGAACACCTTCCTACGGTCACAGGGCCTGGAACAGTTGAAATCAGACCCTTGCTGTTGGCGACTCCGAGACCCCACCACCGGCCAGACGGTGGGATTGGTTTCGGGACACGTTGACGACTTTCTTTTCAGTGGCCTCCCGCAGAACCAGCAATGGGAGGCAGCAGAAAGATCCATACGTGAACGCTTCAACTGGGGAGAATGGGAAGTGAACGACTTCGTCCAATGCGGAGTCAGAGTTCGCGCTCAAAAAGACCACAGTTTTTGGCTAGATCAAGAAAAATATGTACAGGACATCCAGGAGATAAACATCCCCAAGAACAGACGCGAGACTCCAAAGGAGTCGACGACAGATGCCGAGAAAACAGAACTGAGGGGGCTCCTGGGAGCTCTGGCGTGGCACACAAGTCAAGTTGGTTTCCGTTTTTCTTCGTACACCAGCCTTTACCTGTCAGAAGTGAACTCTAGCACGGTGGAAACTTTGGTTGAAGTGAACATGTTGTTGCGGAAAATTCGAAACGTGTCTCATGAACCCATGAAAATCTTTCCTTTTGAAGAACATGAGAACCCTCAACTTTACTGTTGGACCGACGCCAGCAACCAAAACAGACATGACGGGAGCAGCACGAAAGGTATCCTGGTCGGGATGTCAGGGGGCAAACTCGAATCGGGCGAAATCGACCGTGTGTCCCCGTGGTTTTGGCAGAGCGGCAAGATCGATCGTGTGTGTCGGTCACCCGGATCGTCGGAAGCGCGCGCTTTCATCGACGGTGAGGATATCCTTCACATGTTGAGATTTCAGTGGGGTGAAATCATAGGACATGAGGTGGACATCCATGACATTGACAACCATGTGAGTCGGGTTGGAGGGGTGTTGATCACGGACAGTAGAAATGTCTACGACAGGGTTGAAAAACCTTACATCACCCCCAAGGGCGCTCAAAGGCGCGTGGACCTCGAACTTTTGACCATCAAAGAAGCCCAAGCGAGGACAAAGCTGCGCATCAGATGGGTTAGTTCACAGGCCATGTTGGCCAATTCTCTTACCAAAAAGGGGGAGGACGTTCAGTTGGGACGTTTTGTTCAAATGGGCCAAGTTTGGAGGATCGTGGACGACCAAATATGTTTTCGGGACGTAAGCGGATTGCTATGGGCAAATCCGTTCTGGAATGAATCCCGGAACCAAGACGCGGAAGCCAGCCACGGCTTCTGATTTTCTTTACACCGAGGTTGTACAGACCCGGGCATGCAATTTCTGTTCACGAACACCGTAGGAACTCGTCCCGGTTCTCTCCGGGCTCAAGGACCCCCCACTCCAGTGTAGGAAAACGGAGGCCGCTGCCGTGCACTTGCAATATATATATATATCAATATCTATCTATATAATTCTATATCTATCTATCTATATATATATATTCATACATTGGAGTGTTTGACATGTCCATTGGCAATCCCAGGTTCCATGTGAGTCACTTTTTGGCTACAAGTTCATGGTGATCACCGCTTCAGTCTGAGCTTCCAGCTCAGGCTTTCCCGTTTCAGGCTTCAGAAGCTCTGCAGCCCTGGTGGCAGCTTTCTCACGGATCTCCTGGAATTCGCCCGAACGGGACTTCGTATCGAACTCATCCTGAGAAGGACTCTTTGGGTAGTACTATATATAACATCCCAATACCAGGGCCCAGTGGATGATGGTTCGGTTGCAGAAAAAAACACATCATGATGGTTACATGATCATTACTCTTTTGCCGACCTTCTCATGATACTTACGTCTTCCACCGATCTTCTCTTGAGGATTCTTGAGGACGTGGCCCACGGTGGACGTTTCCGCTGCTTTAGACCAAACACACGATCTGTCCGGGACCGGCGAAACGGCCAGGGATGGTGAGTTACGGGGGTCGTAGGCATGGATTGCATGGATTGTCGGGGAGCTGTTTCAAGATGTTTCAAGAGGACCTGCCTTTCGGATCATGATCATGCGAGGTACGACTCTCTATATCAAGACTGTCACTGCGAGGTTCCAGAATTATCGGTACACTCTGACTCACTGACGTGAAAGAGGAAAATGGGACCATAGAAGGGCATGTTCCTTTACAAACAAATGGTTTTCCACTTCCAGGTTAGTAAATTGGCGTGTATCTCCGCAAGGTTCCTATAGAAAATACTTGTATATTTAAAGATAAATTGGCTCATGGGAGTCTTCGTTTCATTTCACGTATCAAACAAATCATGGATCCTACAGTAGAACATATAATATCCCCCTGACGATGTGCATCGAACCTGCAAATCGGCCACTGCACAAAGAAAAAGCACCTGCCAACTATCTATCTATTTCTCTATCTATCTATCTATCGATCGATCTATCTATCTATCCATCGGTCCATCTGTGCATCCATCAATCTATCTATTTCTGTATCTATCTGTCTATCTATATATCTATCCTTCGATCTTTCTTAGGTAGGTCGAAGCACGTGATGACCAACGGAACGGTCTGGGAGGTAGCAGAGTCTAACCACCGAGGACCGACCAAGGGTCGGCTCGCCTGATCTTTGCTCTGCTGATCTCGTCTCGCGAGCTCCATGGCTCGTTGGGTTCGGTCCTGGGTTCGGACACCGAGACGGGTGACCGAGAGGTCGCAGCGAAGCGAAAAGGACAGAGTTGAAATTATATTTAAAACAACCACCGTCTTATACCCACGCTTGACCTCCTCCTCCTCCTCCTCCTACTCCTGCTCCTACCCCTCCTCCTCCTCCTGTTGCTGCTGCTGCTGGGACTTTGCTTGTTGAACGACGGTCGCCCCACAAAACAACGCTCAGCGCCTGCACGACCGCCCAGAACACGAATGGAAAACATATCCGTAAAGCCAGGAGACCCACTCGTCTTGGTAGGACTTCAGCTGTAAAATGTCCATGGCAACGGAGTTGTTCATCTCTGGCTTGCAACATGCGCACAGGCCTCCTGGCATGTTGGGAAGCCGACAAGAACATGAGAGGGACTTTGGACCGGCCCGTGGGAGATGACAGCTCAGGCGCATACACCATATACTCATGATTTTGCTGCGCATGGCCATTGTCATTCTGTACCCAAACATTCCGTGCATATGGCATATTAATGCATGTTATCCTACATTGAGGTGGTTTCAGGGGGTCAATATAAGGCTCCATTCTGATGCTTACCATACATGGAGTGTTCGCAAAAAGAGAAAGGCAAAAATGATGGGTGATGGACTGGACAAGTCTTGGACTCGAGCAAGCCCATCTTAGAACCGAGGCACCGCAATTAAGTTTAGCACTCCCCACCAAGCTCACACCAGAAACAACAAATCGGTTCCACTACACTCTCTGGAAGCTCTTTCACTGAAGAGGGGAACAACAAATCACATCAAATCACCAGAACGAACATGCTGCCTTCGGTTCTGCCGCCTTCGGATGTGAATGGATATACTGTATCCAATGTGACTCCGCAAAGATCCGCAAATCCGCGCCGATCTCTGCGAGGTGTCACGGGACCAGGGGGTCTGAGCTAAGATGGAAAGAAAAACATAATAACACGAAGTAAAATATAAAATATGAAAAAAAACAAAGTAAATTGTAAGATAGGCTATCTTTTCTCCGCCCATCTGCTGCAACCGTCTTGCCATATTTGTGCGGAAAAAAGTTCACACCCGCGAACTGGTTTTGTCAGTTCAGGTGCACTGAATGGGTGCAAAACGAGACTGAACAACGGGCCGAACAACTCAGAATGTGGGTGTTTTTTGTCTAGTCTATTGCTACATCTTTCAGGTCATGTTCCTTTGCCAGGCTCTCTCCAGCAGCGCAACGTGACTCCTGCAAAGAGATCCACGGACTATTTTGGGAGGGAACTGCAGACCCCAAGACCTGGATAAGGTTGCGAAAGATTGGTGCCCACTTCCCAGCAACTGCAAGGGAAACCAATCCGTGCCAGTTGCAAGAAGCGGCTAGCTTCTGTACATGCGAGAAGACCGAGGACCAAAAAGGTACCAGCTCTGGTCTCTTCGAAAGCATTGGATAGGAGGCTTTTTTGGTTGAGTTGGGTGTTGAAGTTGTTGGTAGACCATCAAGGAGGTCACGTGGGTTCTATGGGCACAGATTCTGTGGCTACTTGCTCGACCCGGATCTCCCCACCTACAGTACAATAGGTGTTGTGGGGACAAACTCCCCTGTTCGAAGAAGTTGGGATTCCCCATGGTGCCCATAGGCGCCCCATACTCTGCTGTCAACTTCTCCAGCCTCCCATGCTGAAACCGCTCCTACTAGAATGTTCGGAAGTTGCTGAACTTGCCTCTGTCAGTGGCTTCGGTCGGGTTCCACCGTTGCCGGCGCCAAGCAGCTGATATTCAATGGAAATGGCCACGGCAAAAAATGAAAAGTGCACCAATGTGCAACCCAGATCAACCCAGTATAATACCATGTCAGTATATAGTATGACACATCGTGACAATAGTCACTAGATGTCTTGCCACGATCAACCAACAAAAATCAGCTTACCGTAAACCGTACTGGGCGTTTCCCAGCTTCCCAGCTGGCCGAACCGGGCTTGGCTTTTCAGCGACGAAGCGCACCTCCCGTGAAGATGGAAAGAATCATCCGGTCCATCGCCGGGCATAGGCCGCCCGAGTCACTTGAAGAAGCTGAATTCGAAGAAAAGGAGTTTGTCAATGCAATGTCTTGTCTCTCCAGACATCTACTTGGAACTGACAACCATCATGCAACTCTTTTCTAATGTCACGATGCTTTTTGCTTCGGTGCTGACGTGTCAATGTTGTGTATCGTGACTGGTTGTGGTACAGTTGCACCCCCATCTTGTTCATGATCCCTTAGGAGCCTCCAGCCGTGATCTCTATCTCTGTCCTCAACTTAAACGTGTGTTAAGGGATGTTGGGGGGAGTTGGCTGTTTTCAGGTGCACCCTGGCTGCTTTGCTCATGGTGCTCAAACAGTCCAGCCACAGTTTTGCAGGAATCACATGTGAACATCAATGCACCTTCCCGCAGAGTAGCCCCGCGCTACTATAGGGTTCATGGGAAAGAAAACCCTTTCTGGAGGTCAATTGCCTGTCCACCTTCCAATCAAACCTCCCACCAACATACTATATGTACGTATATATATATATATATTGTACATTATATTTGTATGAAGTTATAGCGCGACTTGCGGTCCCTGTCCGTCACGACCCATAGGCAGTGAAATAAATAAGATTATCTATACTACGCAATGCAAAGATATATATATATGTATATATATATGTTCTACATGTATGTGTATATATTTTATGTGTATACTGTATACTGTATATGTATATATATATAATATAGGAGTCCATGAGTATTCACATCTATTCATGTGGCACTGTCGGTTCCTTCTTGTTTCCCTTCCACCTGGGCGTTCCTTCGACGCAGTCGGGGAGACAGCGGGTCTCCGGTCGCTTCCTTTCGGTCAACACCGTCAACACCAAACCTAGGTTTCTAGTGGATCTTAGTCGCAACCGTTTCGCCTGGGATTTGGGGAGCTGACAGGAATCACTGGTTACCAGTCATAGTGGCAACTGGACCTTGCTGGGTGTGGGATCAACCTGAGATTCTGACCACTGGAGCTTCGCTGCCATGGTCAGGGAGCACCTCGAGGAGAAGGTGACGATGTGTCTTGAAGATGAAGTGATGGCAGAAGTTCACCCTCAAAACTCGTACCACCATTGAATACTTCATAGCCTTTGCCAAACAAGATCCAACAACTCTATGTTTTAAGCAGGTTCAGACTACAACACCAGGTCAACCATGCTTTCAATTGGTGCAATCGTGGCGCTGGCCTGGCTATGCGCATGAACGTCACGATCACCAAATAGATAGAACAGTAACACCCCATTAACATGGGAAAGAACATGGTGCCGTCATCTATTTGGGGACCACGATATGTTGCTTAAATTTGCTTCATGTCCAGAATAACTAAAAATACAAATCACATCACCATTTCAGAGTGAGAAGCATATATAGTATCCTCAGCCACTCGGCAGCATGGGGAGCAACTTCTCAAGACTCCCGAAACCAATGTCAATAAAGCTTCCACGTGGTGAGTTCTGCCGGCCTAAGCGTTCCTATACAGAGTTGGCCTCCTGGATTCACCAGCCTTCCAACAAGCAAACTCCGGTCAACAAATATCTAACTTGAAAGGCTCGCTTCCAGCTAGGCCCTAGTACCTTTATTGGTCTATATAATATTGCATAGTCACATCAAAGATCGAATCACTACCCCCCACGAGTCTACAGTTTACAAGCCCTAATTCACCAGAAGCCTAAACCCTAAACCACTTTAAACTCTTGCTGCTGGGCCATGTCCGCGCTTGGACTATGCCTTTTTCCGCTTTTTCTCCGACGTCCAGGGAGCCGACGGCATCCATCTCGGGAAGGCTTGCAAGGACCTGCCGAGTCACAGCCAAGCAAATCAGCTGCCGAGTCGACCACCCAGGGGGTCTCCAGTGGACTACCCGACACTTCTGGGCTGCTATTGGATAACCCTTCGATGCTCCTGGCAATTACATGGTATATTATTGCATGTAATTACAGGTAGGACATGTTTGCCACCCGGTGTATGTCTGCCGACTGAAATGGAAGTCCGCACGACATGGACAAAGGAACATGCAGACCGCGAGAAACGCCAAGACAGCTGCATGACGCCCCCCCGTGAGTGGATTTCCAGTAGCTAGCAGCTAGCAACCTTGAAGGTGGACTTGATTGGAGTCCTTTTGGCCTTCAACTGGAGAATCCACACCAGCTCCAAGGACACCACGCGGTCAGAAAACCCAAAGGACTTGGAGCCAACGACTTGGATCGACTGACCTTGGACCTTTCGGATTGGTTCGAGGTGTGCGGTTGGTCTCCAAACGCTGTGGTCGGTTTGGTGCAACTCAGCAGGGGGCCAGGAACTGGGGGCCCTAAACTGTGGTGTCACAAACAAGACCTTCTCCAAGAACATCGATGATCAATCACACCTTTAAAAGAACTTCTGTTGCTGAAACATGTCCTGCTCTGACCACCGTTCCTTTTCGCTACCCTGAAAACCCACCTTTTCGCTACCCTCTCGTCGCTTCCCAGAACCCGGAAGGAGTGTCCAACGGCAACGCAGTCCGAGGTCCAACGGAGTGCACCGGCCGAAGACACCCAGCGAACTCTGTTCACCCTTCAGAGGGTAACAGAAAGCGCCACGGCCCATCATCTCACAGCCGGACGTTGAAGAGTTTCCATCCCCAATACGCCACATTCTCTTCGCCTCCTTTGTCATCCCACACGGATTTCCGCAGATTTATGCGTTCTTGCCTCCTCGAGGGTGCAATCCATGTCAGCCTCGCGGAAGTGGGAACATGTTTCAAATGAAGGTCCGCCAAACGGCGAGGCACGTACCCCCATGGATTTTCAAAAATCGATTCATTCATTCATTGGCACTTTCCGCATGTTTCCATCTGTAAGTCTGCATTTCCCATCTGGAACCCGTGTTCTTTCGTGTCGGTGTCTCTGCAAAGCAATCACTCCCAAACACTCCATGTATAGCATATTTACCTACATTAGGGTGGTTTCAGGGGTCAATGTATGCAAATATGCCATATATACATGGAGTGTCTGGGACTCACATCCACGTATTCCGACCAACGCCCTGGGGATCCCAGCCTGATCTTTCACGACCCACCTGGAGCCCTCGTCCCGTTATTTGCCGCGAAGGGTGGACCAAACACCAGGCGGGGGGGGGGAAACGCGTTTCGATCTGCTGGTGCCATGACAGGCATGACTGGGGACCCAAGCAAACAATTATAAACAACGAAACAAACAAAACAAATGGGACAAACGAAACAAACAAAACAAACAAACAAACAAACAAACGAGGTACTCCGAACAAGCTTTGGAGTTCAAAACCTCCAGACTCAAAACCTGGCGAAATT